GGGGGGAAGGGGGGGACGGGCTGGGCCCCACCCCCACGTCTCTGCTTACCAGGGACAGAGCTTGGGTGCGAGCCGCTGCTGCAGCCTTGTCTCGCTCCTATTTGCTCCAGCATGCTGAGGCAGCATGCTAGAGCAGCAGGGGCACATTGCAGCCACAGAGACACTCTGGCTGCGCGCTAGAGTGCCTCTCTGGAGGACCCAGCATCTGGTTGCTTCAGGGCATGCTCTAGGAGCGTGCCCTGCACTGCTTCTTTTCGGAGTGGGGTTTGGGCTTGTTTTTTTGTTTTTTTTAATACTGGGATTTCCCAGTATCAGAATTAGAGTCTGCTCTGCAAATATGCAGCACAGGAAACATTTTTTTCATTCCCAGTGTGCCTCTTGCGGTGTCTCAAACTGCTTTGAGATGCTTCAACAGGCACATGCTTGGTTGTCTGAACGTGGACTGTGTTTTTGCTCAATTACAGGAGAAACCTGTACTCCGTTAGCCAGATGAGCCTCATCTGAAAAGAAATTTAGTAGATTTATTGAATTTACAAATCTTACATTAGTGTTACACCATTGGCTTTAATGTAGTTATTTTTGATGTGTAAAGGCCTAAGGGGGAATTTCTTTGGAATTTTTTTCTTATTTCTTTGATTCTTAAAAGTCTACCCATCTCTCCTAAATAAAGCAAAAAACAGAAATCCAGCACTCAAGTTCAATACTACAACATTATTCATGGGTTCAGAAATATGCATAACAAATTTAGCAAAACAAATTACTATTTAATTTTAAACAGTATATAATATTGCTAAAACTCTAACTGGTTAGTAAGGGATATTGATTTTAGTCATGTTGGTCTGAAAGCATAGGCAGACAAAACTCTTGGGACAGAAGTGATATATTTTTATTAGACCAACTAAATAGTAGCAAAAAGAAAGAAAGAATTTTTTTGCTACTATTTAATGAATCTAATAAAAGATATCACCTCTACTGCGAGAGTTTTTTCTGCCAACTGGTTAGTAAAATATTCATAATATTCACTATAAATATTCCCCCTCTTCATCCTCTACATTAATTAGAATAGATTCAAGAATTCTTATATGACTTTTATTGAATTATGCTAAGTGCATCTACATGTGCAATTAATGTGCACTAAAGTTGCTGCGCAGTACCCACTTAGCACTGGGCTCAGAGGCAGCTTCTGCACAAGCAAGACAACCCCCACCCCCTCCACACACACACACACACACACACACACACACACACACACACACAGTCCGGGCTGACTGGGACAAGTTTGTTCCCGATCAGCTGTCTATATACGCACTACTATACATTTAATCTAGTCCCTGTATTTCTTGGCGCTAGGAAACAGCACATCAGCCTAATTTAGTGTAGTAAATGCTCTGCATGTGCAGATGCTGATGCTTTACTGTGCAGTAGACTAATCTATTGCACAGTAAACCATTTTGTGTAGACGTGCCTGCCTACAAGCAAGAAATATTATCTTTTATTGCTAGGGATGCAGTAAAATTGAATAATAATTTTAACAGAGTTAAATTTAAAAACATTTTTAATTCAGGATATTCAAATCTGGAAAATGTATTTGAGGCTTCATATGCATTTTGTATGTATGCCAGTTATAAATCACTGCTGTCCT